CCAAAACTGGTTCATATGGCCTGTCTGTGCGTGTTTACCAGATCACGCCTGCACTCAGCTGAACCCTGCACTAAATCACTCGTCTGCCTAGAATTCCGTACGTCCTCACCACTAAGGTGAGAGAGAAATTCATGTATCTGCTTGCGCAGTAGGCAATTTGCGAAATTCGTTGAACATTGGATGGTTATTGGATGGTGGGGGCAACAACCGTAAATGACCGGTGTTCACCATGAAGGTGGTCAACGGCCTTCTGCCGCTAGACTAACTATAGTTGTAACGAATTTCTACCCATACCACAGAACTCCCCCTACTACTCTTCTGAGATCAAATATCACTATTGAATGACCGAAGATGTAAACCAGGCGTGAACCTCTGGTCAAGGTTATGGGCATATGGAGGATTGAACAGTTGCTTAGGCTAGCACATGGAGGGTTAAGCTAGTGTGATAAGATTATCTGGAATTTTTGAAAAGTTTTTGCTGCACGAACGGTTCGCGCAACCACGATAAAAATTCATTTGAATGAACCGAAATGTACAGTTCAAGTGACAACTAAGAGTAGGTTTCAGGGGAATTTTTCAATCAATGCATGACTCCGCAACACTGGCCTTTCAGTGTGTTTCGGTGAACCATTCCGTACGTTTCGAATGTGCATTTTTGGCAAACAGATTTACAGACATATGCGGAGAGCAACCAAACAAAAGTGCATTGATAAGCGGGGACCACGTTCGGCACGCAGCTAGATTATACTTTTCACCTGGTCAGGACGTCGTCCTCATCCAAACACTTGGTGCACTTTTGTGGTGTGGCCGTTTGATTTGCTACGGGGACGGGCATCATGAAATTGATCAGCTAGCAAGATGCTTTCATTTTCTAGATCCACATTGGACAGGAGAATGCCATGAAAATATAATTGGTCGGGCTAGAATCGAACTGTTTTTCATCGTATTGGCTCTCCTCGTGCTCTTAAGCACCGTAATCGAAACCGTCTAGGCGGGTGCCGCTTGTTTCCTGAAAACGTATTTTCCTGTGCATTGGAGTCATCCGGCACCGTGGAATACGACACTCATAAAAGTGTCTATTTTTCATACGTTGTAACACGATCTGGTTCGATAGAGGTGAAAAATGAAAACCTCCCAGTGCACGGTGCGGGCAGTGCTATTTTCAGTCACCAGGTTCGTCTGTCGGCTACGTGTCTCACATCCGTGGGGAGGCATCGCATCGCATCGATCGCCTGTGTGACCACGGCGTTCGACCACTTGCCTCCACTTGCTGGGTGCGCCCTTCGCTCACCCGTGGGGCGGAGGTTGTATGTTACTATAGTCACTGAATGCGGTACGAGAAGCAGATGGCAATTGGTTGTTACCCGCTTGTAAACACTGCACAACCACGACGCGTTTCGATGTAATTTCATTTCATCAGGCGGAGATAGCAGTCCTCGAACCCGGGACCATTGGAATAGTAGCAGAAACCCCTGCCCCTTTGGCTACCGGGTCACGGTGGGGGGCAAGGCTTGGCACAACGGTGACTGACAAATTGGAGGGTCAAATTTAGATTACACATTGTGTGATTGGATTGCGACGCGCAATCTCAATGTGGACCGCGATTCCCATTGAAATGAGCCTTGGTCAATGCGTTCACTAGGACCCTAGCTGAAGCAGGTGGAAATTGAGTGTTGCCCGCCCGAAAACACTGCACAACCACGACGCGTTTCGATGTCATTTTATCTCATCAGATGGAGATAGCAGGTCTCGAACCCGCGGTACGAGAATGTGTTACCTTCTCTTCACACGTGCGCATACATTCGTAGGTAAGCACTCCTCGAAACCACCTAGCCACAATTCATATAGTAAATATGAAACAAGAATTCTACTGGGTGAAAAAGTTAACGGCATGCTTAGGTTGTGGAGATGACTCGGTCATTTCGTGTGATCTCATCAATCACAAACATGCGGTTAACGATGCCCCAAAAGTCAGCTGAAATCGGTTCACTTTACCACTGTAGGTTCAAAGTCAGTTAGATATAATTTTGCTCTCAAAGCGCTTGATGTTTTCGATTGATAGAAACGGCTTCCGCTGACCTGAAGACATGGGAACGCTTCTGATTGCGCGTAAGGACGGATGCGTGTGCTGTACTACGGAGGATTCTTCAGTACAGAATGCAACCAACCTCTGCTGTCATTGTCTAGACTTCGATATTCCCTCCTTTTCTATACTGAAGTAACGATCTTTGATCAACTTGGTCTAAGTTCCTCCTTAATTCATGTACTGTGCACTAAACTTGAAAGCTGTGACGCCCCCAGCTTCTTAGTTATATTTGAGCCCACGCCTTAGTTAATCATTATGTTCGTCGGGTAACTTGTCTAAACTGCCTGCTAAGTCTACGGTTGCGTCGTTTTACTTTCTATCGTTAGCTTGTCCAGGCAATCAGCTGTATTTATATATTCTCGATGACACTAGTTGCGAAGTACGTACTCTAGTTTATTTAGACACCAAGTGTCTGGGTGGTTGAAATAACGTGTTACTGTGGAGAAGAAAAAATCAACACTGTCCTATTTCACCGCGTAAGGTGTAACATGGAAGGAATTGGACTTGTATGCCATTCACTGGTAACAGTGGCACTTTAGTGCACTTTTTCTGGATTCGTTACTTTAGGAGTTAGTTTTCTGTTTTCCCGAGTCATCTCTTGTAGAGTCCCAGTCCGTAAGGTTCTCAGCTGCACATAGTACCGGGGTTGATTGCGTCTTAGCACACTTACTAGATGACCCACCTCTTCTATGTACCATACTGCAAACTGAACTGAATGTTCGACAACTTTTTCCACGGATAGCACTCGGTTTAAAATTCGAAAATCACTCTGTAATCTTAATCGAGAGCGTGTTAGCACAGGTTTGGTCCCCTTTTCTTGTTTTTTACAAACAAACTGGCGAGGTTATCGCCTCAGATTTTATATTCTTCGCTGATGACATTGGGCTGTGGTGGGTGATCATGAGTTCGGACGACCACGGGATACCATAACACGACCTTGATGAGTCTTCAGATTAGTAGGTCCACTGCGTCATGTGTTTGACGTGGGCAAATGCAGAGTTTATTCAAATGCACCCCAGATAAACCTACCTTTTGGGGGAAAACATACATTGCGGATTATTTTTCTGTGTTACACGACCCCAGTGCTCTCGTACAGAACGAACTCCGCTGTTCGGCATGATTCGAACCGATATGAGAAAGGGATAGTCAACACAACTTTTCGCTTCTCCGTTCTTCCCCCGCTGCTTGATCTTTACGTGCATCCTCTCTTTGAGTATGTTATCCAAGGCTTTCAACAATGGTACACTGAAGCCTGAATGCGATAGGGAGCACGCAACTTTCATACTAGGACAGGCTGAAGGTGTTTGCGGTGTTTATTGGCGGTTACTGATAACCAGTGGTAGTCTTATACAAAGTTGCGCTGAGTGACTTCAAGAGCCGCCAAAGTGAAGCAGTTTAGATGTTACAGCCGTGTTGGATTGTGATCGGAATTGTTTGTTCTACCTGACCTACCAACACTGAAACGTCTCCCAAACTCATTTATCTCTGTCCCCAGAACCCGATCAATAATATGTCCAATCTGTCTAACACAACACAGGGGATGACGCATATCCGCCCTAGCCTTGAGCCACCTTTTTCATTCAGCGGCATCCTTTAGAAGTTCGATTTACTGGCCATATCTTCTAGGCACCTAGAGAGCTTCCAGGGGTTGGTGGTCGGAGATCTGCGTCCGCTTCCACAGTCCTAGCCCCGAACACCCTTTGACTGGTTACAGGGATTTTGTGATCCCATTGATATTCAAATATTGCCTTGAATGTAACCTTTTTCTGACCGGTCAATGAGACACTTATACAACAGCTACCACAGCAGATGTCATTCCGCGAGAGAAATAGACTATCCTCACTTCAGCATCTGTTTCTTGGCTATGTTGCCACATATGTTTCACATCAGCTGTTCGGTGTTTGGACATCAGTGATGAAGGGGTATCAGTACAGGACTGCTGATTTTGCCACCCGTTGACTGGCTGTTCATCTCTTAAATACTTTACTTAGATGCCAAACTCATTACATTAGCTTGACAGTTACGGTGATCGGGTTACACGTCGCAAGCAATTCTTCCTCAACCTCAGCTGCCCGCCTCTGCAGAAAACGGTGACACAGCCTAGTTTCCCTATCTGATCATAGTAAGGCGATCCGTTCCCGTGTCAAATATAAGCGAAATGTGCTCAACAACGGTCAATTAGTGCCAGTTACAATGATTTCCACTCAAGTTACTATAGTGCTTCAGTAGTATACGCATCGCACTTTTCGCTTAATACTGTAGATTCTTTTCTTCCACAATGTCTGGAGCCAATACGGTTGATGAGAGCGGAGCATGATATACGATGCTCTCTAGAGGTTGAATCCTAAAAGTGAAAGCACCGGTTGGTGTGAAAAGGTGAATGCTTATCAACAGCTTTATACATTACTTATGAATGGAAGGATTTTGGTGAGTATTTTTGTTCGTCGCAATCAGCCGACAATTCAGATATGTCGACCAGCTATCCGGAAAAGCACCAGACGGCCGTTTCGCCCTATTGGAGCTCATCAGTGGGCGCATCAGATACCGTCCTCCATGGCGCAGTTACATAAGCTGCGGACTAGTTGGCAAGAGCCACTAGCAGTCATGGGTTCGATCCTCCGCAGAGGACCAAAGGATGCGCACCACTGATGAGCCCCAATTGGGCGAAACGGCCGTCTGGTGCTTTTCCGGATAGCTGGTCGACATATCCGAATTGTCGGCTGATTGCGACGAACAAAAATAGCTTTATACATTTTCCATGAAACCGGGGTGCAGTTTATCAATAGTCGTGTATGTGCATTTGGTACGTCACGTGGTGGCATTTCTCTTCCCTTCAGCTTCCACTCCAATCTCTATGATAAAATACTATGAACCTGGAAACAATTTTTGTCCGCTTGTTTCTCTTGCCTCTTAGATCTCGTTCTTAGCAAGCCTCCACCAGAAGAAACGATCCAGCAAATACCCCCGTCAGTTCTGCAGAGACAGGTGTCGTTATCGGAATCCCTCACGCTTTCCACCGTATCTGATCAGCTTGAAGACAGTCTGGTCGAAAGAATAGAACCCCAAGTCCATTTGGGAACCGTTGGACAGCTAGAAAGCGTAACGCCCGCAGTCAAAGAAAGTCCTCTTACATTTGCAAGAGAGATATCTGAGGAGTACAGGGATGAAGGTCCCTCAACACCAGGTACGTTAATGTTATTCACTATGTTTCCGGAAATTTTTTGAGTATACATATGCGCTGAATTTTTCTAAATATCTTGGTATCCGTTACACTGTGACCGCAGCTCATGTCATACTATTGGACCGAGAATACTTTATCGCTCATGATGCCTTCACATTATCGCTTCATGCATCCGCATTAGTTTCTCAACGACAAATATCTTATCCTCTGGCAAGTCGCCAAGATGTGCGATAAAGTTTCTTGCTAGTTCCGCATTTGAAACATCATCAAACGGTTCACCATAACTGGTGTACAAGTTATTTCATCTCTACTTTGACATAGTCAAGTCAAGTTAACCAAAGCTTTATGCACCCAGATGGATGCATTTTCAACATTTTACACTATCTACCACAAATGTGATATAAACATCATCAGTAAAGATGATAATTTTACAATTTTACACACAGTATGGGTAAAAACGCACAGATGTCACTTAAGTAAACAGTACCGAATCTTTGAGCAACAACCGCACATTGATCGAACAAATTATGAGATTCTTCTTCCATTTGACGAGACCACCATTTGTTAAAACGTTTCTTGATAGCTCGTTTCAACTGGATAAAAGTAGCAAACCGCGAATTTTGCTCGGTATCTCGGATACCTTTTCCGAGAATCGGTGGAGTTGAGCGACCTCATTGACCTTGAAATTGTCCAGCCAAAGCATTCGCCAAAAGGTTCAAGTAAAATTGATACGAGAAGAGTAGTAGGGGAGTTGAATGGTATAGGTAGAAATTCGTCACATCTAGACTCACTCAGACAGCCGCCACACGCCCGGAAAAGCACTGTACGCGCGTTTCATGCTTTCGGGAATCATCAGCAGTGCGCATTCCATCGGACCCTTGGTAGGGCTCGAACCCGCAACTCGACTGTTGCCAGTCCGTGGTTGAGACCAGTCTTCTCTAATCATACGCAGACAAAACTGCTTATAATGCCATAAGTTAATTGGCGGCTTAAGTTTGGTAAGCTCGTCCCTTGGTGAGGGGGCTACCCTGTCTTCTGCACGGCAGTAACGTGTAAGTCAGTGGATAGTGAGCGGCGCTATATCACATCTAGTAACTTATTCACGATGGTCGTTGCCGTCCCCCGTAGCTCAGTGGTCTCAACCACGGACTGGCAACAGTCGAGTTGCGGGTTCGAGCCCTACCAGGCGTCCGATGAAATGCGCACTGCTGATGATTCCCGAAAGGATAAAACGCGCGCACAGTGTTTTTCCGGGCGTGTGGCGGCTGTCTGAGCGAGTCTAGATGTGACGAATTTCTACCTAAAATTGATACGTTTGCAGTAGATAGCGTAAAAAACGATGTTTTGGGGGAGAGCGGCGACGGCCAAATTAAACGCCCCGCTTTTAAAAGCGGTAACACATAAATTCCCATCGAGGGGAGATATGGTTCAGTCAAACTGGTTCAGTCATGTGATAAACATTAAAGTCAAACCTTTGTACTAAAGATTTGTTTGCTAGACCAGATGTAGTTTTTTCCCAGTGATGCTTTCGCCATTAGTTTCTTTCAACATTACGAAGGAAGTTGACGTCAATCACTTCAACAAGATTTCGGATCAGATTGTGATCCGGAAGCATTGCATGTTGTTCAAGTGATGTATCCGGTAGGGTGAAAGACACTACGGATTGGCGGAGTAAAAAAGCAAACAAGCAATGCATCCAAGCGCGTGACCGGTTATCCTGTCCACCTAGCCGCGAAAACCGGTGTATCACGTGTAGATCAGCGGCATCGACGTTTTCCTCCAATGGGATTTTCTTCACACTGGTTTTCTGTCTGATCGAGGATATCAACATGTTAAAGGAGTCTGCATCATTTAGGGTGTGTAAGTTGGCAATTCTGAACTAACGTGGCCAATAATACTAATACTACTACTGCCACTAATAGTAATAGTAAGTATAGCTGGATTGTCACTGTGTGTTTCTCTGTAACTCGTATTTGCTCACCAAGAAGCACTCTCCTTCCTGGTCCACTTTCCGTCCCCGTAGTTCTGGTACCTCAGGCAAGTGTGCACGAGGAATCTGTCGAACCTTCGATGGTTGATCAGCATCCTGTCGCCTCAACTGTTCATCAAGAACAGGTTATACTGGAGCCAACATCGGGGATAGATGAGCATGTTGAGCATGAAAGACTTGATGAAGCCGAAACTGTGCCAACTGGGATCACGCCGTTTTACAGTAAGCTACTGTCATTAGCATGCTTTTTCTATTGCTTTTGAGCACCAACAGTGTTATTTGCAGTTCATAAATCGAAACCCTAAGGGGGAGTGGATTGCGTTTATGTGGAAAACTTGCGAGCACATTACGGAAACGAAGCCCCCAACAACTCGTGTTACTTTAAGTGGATTCATCCTAGCCGCGCTCATTCAGACAGCCGCTGTATACTCGTTGGACGTCTGTCTCGTCCTACAAGCAACGCGCATTTTTAACTAACCTCACAGGATTCAAGCCGACGATCAGCTTCCTATTGGTGACTGAACCCAGTTTGACGGTGGTAAGACGCCATAACTGGAATGTGGCGTCACACACCCCCAGTTGCCATGCGAAGAACAGGATCAATCGGTAGAAGTATGACCCTTTGTCAAGTCACTTACATTATAGGCTAGCGTAACTGCTAATTGTTTGGAAATAGGTGGAAGATATTGTATCGTTTTGGAGATCTGTAGCGGACCGTGTTACCCGCCCTCGAAACTGCTGTCTAGTACTTTTCCAGAGGGGCAGTAACTGTCTGGGTGGACTTGCGACTAATCTCCCAAATTATCGCAGTCCCTTCTTTTACTGCTCTCTAAATATCATTAATTAATCTGGCTATTTTTCCATCTCACTGCAACGTGACATCTCAGCAAGAGATTTCACGTCTCTGAGATTCACCCCTGTCTTGTAGCCATCCGAGAGTCAAAGCGAGGCCTCTAAATGGTCACTTTTCATTTTCGCCTCCACCATCTCTCTACATTCATTGAACGGTGCGCCATGTTCATGCATTCTGCTCGGCCCGATCCATTTCTGCTTTGTGTACCTCCACTTCCTGTTTGACCTGGTCTGGCCACGCCAATTCCCCCCTGTCCGACTGGCTCGCGCGAGTTTGGTCTATTCGCGTGGGCGGCACCTGATTCGCTTTCTCTTTACTAGCTACAGAGCGCCACTGTGGACCAGCTGGCGTCCCATCCTGTGCCTATGGTGCGGAATCGTTAACCGGCACGCCCGTTTGCACCCGGATCTTTGAGCCAATCCACTTTGTTTTTGACCATGACAAATATGTGTTATCTTCACACCTGGCTGAGCTAATTCTGCTTCGTCTCTCTGGTCAACTCGCGTCGGCGATGACTGATTCGCCTCCTGTCTGCTTGCGCGGCCCAAGTACCAGCTACCACAACAAACTCTGTCCTCTGCACGTTAGGAACGCGTATGATGTTGGAAGATAAGTCGCTCCACATCACAGTTTCTTGGTCACAACGTCTGCCACCCATTCCACGTGCGCCTGTAGCCTTAATCGTTGGCTCAAAAGTAGAGGATCATGCTTTCTGGCTGCTCATCCAGCGAATGAAACGTTTCTTAATAACGAAGGGAAGATAAGACCGTCTGGTGTCTCTTCGGATGTGCGGTTGCTGTCTGACTAAGCGTGGTTGAGACGAATGTTGTTCGACAACCTTGGTTCGTGGTCTACTCCGGTTTCATTCGTGCGCTTTGGTTAGGCATTGGTCTTCCGTAGTCCCGTCGTTACATCAAGTGGAATACGTCAACCGATTAGATGAACTCGCTGCTCGTATTACCTCCGTTTTTGTGCTACCGATCAACGGGTCGCAGCGACCTAGATAATTGCAGCTCACCTCAATACAGAAGTTACATGTTGTGGATCGCGAGAAAACCGCTACTCGGTAGCTTGTTCGTTGAGTGTGGTATGAAGTTGTAACTCGAGATCGCACCGAAAGCAGTCAGTTGTCTGGAACTATGATTTATCGAGAATTTGTCAAACTCGCAGCCACACATTGGAACGATGGAACACTGGTTTACGACTGGTAGAAAAACCTAAGGTTAACATGTCCCGTAGGTTGGTAATGAAAAGAACTGCAATTTCGAATCCTATACATGTTGGCCAAATAAAATATGTATCACTGTAGCGATAGAGCAATGACATAAAGAATAGAGTTATGGGAATGAGATGGTACCGTGCAAAACAGTAATAAGTTTTATGGTTAATGCGTATTTTAAGTCGCAATCGGATTGCTCACCCGTCTACAAGGATTTGTTGTGGACTGTACCTAAAAAGCTTCTTGATCTGAATATATCCCAGAATGTTCGTCCACGTAGCAAGGTGTATGTAGCTCAGTGCGATATCTAAGCGCCTTTTGAAATTGTCTAATGCGGGACAGGGACAGCTGAGTTTGGAAGGGCTTCCCAGGGTTGGTAGACCCAGAGGGAGAAGTAACTTCCTCGACAATATGGACGACTGTATTGTTAGCAGTTTCAAGCTATTGCTGATGTTGATGTTGATGTTCGGTCTGAGTTTCAGGTGGCGGTTTACGTGTCTAGGATCTTCAATTTTCAGTATGCTAATATAAGTTCTCCGCGTAGCGTCTACTGAACGCTCCGAGTTTCATCAACTCTTCCTGCTGCGCAAGATGACGCAAGCTCTTGACATCTTTTGTCGCTGGACGTTGGGGGTCTCGAGCGATGCGAGGTTATGCTTTAGGTAAGGATCTCAAGCCTGGATAGCGTATTAGACTTGGGGACGCAGGTAGGCATTGAGAATCAGAGATAGGATGGATGAATCCAAAGTCCCCAGTGCATGTGGTTACCTCGTTTTGAAACGGACGCAGACTGTTTGGAACAACCGAGGTCGTCCTGTACGAGCATATCAGGGTCACATTCCTGAGATATGGTCTGTAGTTCGTGCGCCTCAAAAATCCTGTAGATGGAAATGTGTCGGTGGTGGGCGTGAAAAGCTCGGCCATTTGTCCACATTGAATGACAGCGCATTCCTCACCGACCAATTCCAAGCCCCATTGAGATCGCAATGGAGGAGCTTGTGGTCGTGCAATCCCTTCAGCACCCTCCAAAACTTAATGTCGTCCAGAAAGAGTAGATATTTAAGGTGATAACTCTCGTTGGGTCGTTACTTATAGATTTAAGAACAGGTGAGGCCTAGCTATCGAACCATGCGGTGTGCTACGCATCTAGCAAAGCGCTAGCAGGCCGTTTCTTTCCAATGGAATTTGTGAACGCGTCATTCTTGTAGCGTAATCATTAAATTAACTAACAAGTGCACTCCTCTATTTCATTTTATGAATCATTGCTCACATAACTAGAGGGTTTTAGACTTCGTGATAAAATCCTCCATTTTCGGTTTGCCTGTCTGTGAGCCGTGGCATATAGCACATCCGTGTCCTGTGCACAGCGATAGTCTACTTATGGTAAACTCAAACTATATTGATAATTCGGTGGAACGTGGTAACCGATAGGTTAAGCGCTTGAGCTTAGTGGTATCTTCCTTCGGGTTTGACTAATACTGTGACTGCGAATGTCCGCAAAGAACACACAGCTACTGAGTAGCAATAGGTGCTTTGAACTGCATACATCACGACTTGGCTCACCTATGTCGCACTAACGAACGAATAAGGCAGGTGGGTAGGGGGACGCGAGGGTTTCAATGTAACACCAAAATCATGCTAAAGTACGAGGTTCACTAATTATGTATGAAGTCATACGCACATGTGGGCACTTCTATCGTAATGGAGCAGTGGTTGAGACCCAGGCGAGTGTCTTTGAGGTCACCAAAATCAATACGTAAGCCTAAACTGTAGCCTATCCCATATTCAGACGATAATGATGAGATGTGACACGTGTCAGACCTTCACTAAGACCCAGTAGTCGCGTACACCTAAAACGCACGGTCTGTTGAGTACGTAACCGCAATGGTAGGAAGGGTGCGTGTGAGCGTAGCATGGTATACTCGACCCCATACGCCTTCGTGGGCGAGCGGGGCCGGACATCTATGCTTACGTGTGCTTTGGTTTGTATTGGTACCGTACCACCATACTGCTGTGCAAAAAATCAAACAAAAATTAACCAAAACAAAGTAATTCCCTCTAACTAAGCATGTAATACCTTGCATCACTTAATAACCAACAATTTTATGTTATCGGATAGAACTGCTATCTGCGTTATGGTTAAATAAGAGTACAGTCAAATTTGTCTAATGCGACCATTCAAGTGACGAACAAAAGTGGTCCCCTTGGACAGGTGGTCGCCATAGACAGGTACAAGCGTAGGGACATTACTCAAAGGAAAAACGTGGGGGATGTTTTTGGGCTGGGCGCCGTAGACCGGTGGTCGCCATAGCAGCTTAGACTGTTTAACTAAAAGAGGTATGACTATAGTTTGCGGCATCCGTTTCCAGGAATTGTATGTCAATGCGGCCTCAATGGGGACAGCCAAAGGATACCTGCGCCAACATAGGAACCATGGGTGGCTTGCGCTGCACCACCCACCCCATATGCAGTGTAAACCCAAAGGAATAAGACCTGGAAGCAGGTGGATGGGAGCCACGTTTCATCAACGGAGCCGGCCCACACTCCTTCACAGGCAAGCACAAGAACGCCGTAATTGGGGAAACAAACGTAAACAAGGCGGTGGCTGGACCGTGGTCCGCTCTACACTCAGTGCATTGAATCACTCTTCGAGCCTAGCGCGACCACAAGGACCGTGCACCCCGTCACCTCCAGCAACGACCAACTGTCCCCTGGAGCCAGTAAGAACGAGGTAGTGGGTAATGGACAGGTAGGCACCTTATCAATATGCACATCAAGCGCAGCCACACATGGGGTATCAACCAACAGCCAATCATTCGAAATGCCGATATCGAAAAAGTAAACGCATATGACGACATAAATACTTGCTAAATGAGCATATGAAAGAAATTGGTTGTAAGTGAATCCGCAATAAATACAAAATTTCCGAAACATTTAAAAAATACCACGCAATAAAATTACCTAAGTTTACCACAATTTGCGTGAGCGACGTGTGCAAGTTAGGAAAAGATTATCAAGTACGCAGAACAAACCAAATAAAGTGGAATGAATTGTATCCACATTAAAAAGACCTGGTTTATGTGTAAGTTGGTTTAGCCCAACTGCGGTGAAGTACAGTCATGAATGCAACGACAGCTTCAGCATGGGGCA